GTGTACAGTAGACAGCTGGATGTGTATTTTGGACAGCTGAATGTGTCCAGTAGACAGCTGAATGTGTACAATGGGCAGGTGAATGTGTATGGTAGACAGGTGAATGTGTGTAGTGGACAGCTGAATGTGTACAGTAGACCGCTGATTGTGTACAGTAGACAGCTGAATGCGACAGTAGAAAGTTGAATGTGTACAGTAAGCAGCTGAATGTGTACAGTAGACAGCTGGATGTGTACAGTGGAAAGGTAAATGTGTACAGTAGACAGTGGAATGTGTTAAGTAGACAGCTGAATGTGTATAGTAGACAGATGGATGTGTACAGTAGACAACTGGATGTGTACAGTAGACAGATGAATATGTTCCATAGATACCTGAATGTATTCAGTAGATACCTGAATGTGTACAGTAAATACCTGCATGTGTACAGTGGACACCTCAATGTGTACGGAGGATACCTGAATGTGTTCAGGAGATATCTGACTGTGTTCAGTAGATGCCTGAATGTGTTCAGTAGATATCTGACTGTGTTCAGTAGATAAGTGTATGTGTACAGTAGACATCTGAATGGGTTCAGTAGATACCTGCACACATTCAGGAGATAAGTGTATGTGTTCAGTAGATACCTGCATGTGTTTGGGAGACACCTGAATGTGTACAGTAGATACCTGCATGTGTTCAGTAGATAACTGTATGTGTTCAGTAGATACCTGCATGTGTTCAGTAGATACCTGAATGTGTACAGTAGATACCTGCATGTGTTCAGTAGATAATTGTATGTGTTCAGTAGATACCTGCATATGTTCAGTAGTTAAGTGTATGTTTGCTGTAGATACCTGAATGTGTACAGAGGATACCTGAATTTATTTAGTAGACACATGTATGTGTTCAGTAGATACCTGTCTGTGTTCAGTAGATAACTGTATGTGTTCAGTACATACCTGCATGTGTTCAGTAAATAAGTGTATATGTGTTCAGTAGTTACCTGCATGTGTTCAGTAGATGCCTGAATGTGTTTAGTAGATATCTGACTGTGTTCAGTAGATACCTGCATATGTTCAATGGATAAGTGTATGTGTTCAGTAGATACCGGAATGTGTTCAGTAGATACCTGCATATGTTCAGTAGATAAGTGTATGTGTTCAGAAGATATCTGAATGTGTTCAGTAGATACCTGAATGTGTTCAGTAGATACCTGCATATGTTCAATGGATAAGTGTATGTGTTCAGCAGATACCTGAATGTGTTCAGTAGATACCTAAATGTGTTCAGTAGATACCTGCATGTGTTCAGTAGATACCTGCATATGTTCAGTAGATACCTGAATGTGTTCAGTAGATACCTGAATGTGTTCAGTAGATACCTGAATATGTTCAGTAGATAAGTGTATGTGTTCAGTAGATGAGTGTATGTGTTCAGTACATACCTGCATGTGTTCAGTAGATAACTGTATGTGTTCAGTGGATACCTGCATGTGTTCAGTAGATGCCTGAATGTGTTCAGTAGATATCATACTGTGTTCAGTAGACACCTGAATGTGTTCAGTAGATACCTGAATGTGTTCAGTAGATGAGTGTATGTGTTCAGTACATACCTGCATGTGTTCAGTAGATAACTGTATGTGTTCAGTGGATACCTGCATGTGTTCAGTAGATGCCTGAATGTGTTCAGTAGATATCATACTGTGTTCAGTAGACACCTGATTGTGTTCAGTAGATACCTGAATGTGTTCAGTAGATACCTGCATATGTTCAGTGGATAAGTGTATGTGTTCAGTAGATACATGAATGTGTACAGTAGATACCTGAATGTGTTGAGTAGATACATGAATGTGTTCAGTAGATACATAAATGTGTTCAGTCGATACCTGAATGTGTTCAGTAGATACCTGAATGTGGTCAGTAGATACATGAATGTGTTTGGTAGATACATAAATGTGTTCAGTAGATACCTGAATGTGTTCGGTAGACACCTGAATGTGTTCAGTAGATACCTGCATATGTTCAGTAGATGAGTGTATGTGTTCAGTAGATACATGAATGTGTACAGAGGATACGTGCATGTGTTCAGTTGATAAGTGTATGTGTTCAGTAGATACATAAATGTGTTCAGTAGATACCTGAATGTGTTCAGTAGATACCTGCATATGTTCAGTAGATAAGTGTATGTGTTCAGTAGATACATGAATGTGTTCAGTAGGTACCTGAATTTGTTCAGTAGATACCTGCATGTGTTCAGTAGATAAGTGTATGTGTTCAGTAGATACATGAATGTGTTTAGTAGACACATGTATGTGTTCAGTAGATACCTGAATGTGTTCAGTAGATACCTAAATGTGTTCAGTAGATACCTGCATATGTTCAGTAGATAAGTGTATGTGTTCAGTGGATACCTGCATGTGTTCAGTAGATGCCTGAATGTGTTCAGTAGATATCATACTGTGTTCAGTAGACACCTGAATGTGTTCAGTAGATACCTGAATGTGTTCAGTAGATACCTGCATATGTTCAGTGGATAAGTGTATGTGTTCAGTAGATACATGAATGTGTACAGTAGATACCTGAATGTGTTGAGTAGATACATGAATGTGTTCAGTAGATACATAAATGTGTTCAGTCGATACCTGAATGTGTTCAGTAGATACCTGAATGTGGTCAGTAGATACATGAATGTGTTTGGTAGATACATAAATGTGTTCAGTAGATACCTGAATGTGTTCGGTAGACACCTGAATGTGTTCAGTAGATACCTGCATATGTTCAGTAGATAAGTGTATGTGTTCAGTAGATACATGAATGTGTACCGAGGATACTTGCATGTGTTCAGTTGATAAGTGTATGTGTTCAGTAGATACATAAATGTGTTCAGTAGGTACCTGAATGTGTTCAGTAGATACCTGCATGTGTTCAGTAGATAAGTGTATGTGTTCAGTAGATACATGAATGTGTTTAGTAGACACATGTATGTGTTCAGTAGATTCCTGAATGTGTTCAGTAGATACCTAAATGTGTTCAGTAGATACCTGCATATGTTCAGTAGATAAGTGTATGTGTTCAGTAGATACCTGCATGTGTTCAGTAGATGCCTGAATGTGTTCAGTAGATATCTGACTGCGTTCAGTAGACACCTGAATGTGTTCAGTACATACCTGAATGTGTTCAGTAGATAAGTGTATGTGTTCAGTGGATACATGGATGTGTTCAGTAGATACCTGAATGTGTTCAGTTGATACCTGCATGTGTTCAGTAGATAAGTGTATGCGTTCAGTAGATACATGAATGTTCTCAGTAGATACCTGAATGTGTTCAGTAGATAAGTGTATGTGTTCAGTAGATAAGTGTATGTGTTCAGTAGATACATGAATGTGTACAGTAGATACCTGCATGTGTTCAGTAGATACCTGAATGTGCTCAGTAGATACCGGCATGTGTTCGGTAGATACCTGAATGTGTACAGAGGATACCTGAATGTGTACAGTAGATAAGTGGATGTGTTCTGTAGATACCTGAATTTGTTCAGTAGATACCTGAATGTGTACAGTAGATACCTGCATGTGTTCAGTAGATACCTGAATGTGTACAGTAGATACCTGCATGTGTACAGGAGATAAGTGTATGTGTTCAGTAGATACCTCAATGTTTTCAGTAGATAAGTGTATGTGTTCAGTAGATACCTGCATGTGTTCATCAGATACCTGAATGTGTACAGTAGATACCTGAATTTGTTCAGGAGATAAGTGTATGTGTTTAGTAGATACCTGCATGTGTACAGTAGATACCTGCATGTGTTCATCAGATACCTGAATGTGTACAGAGGATACCTGAATGTGTACAGTAGATAAGTGGATGTGTTCTGTAGATACCTGAATTTGTTCAGTAGATACCTGCATGTGTTCAATAGATACCTGCATGTGTTCAGTAGATACCTGAATGTGTACAGTAGATACCTGCATGTGTTCAGTAGATAAGTGTATGTGTTCAGTAGATACCTGAATGTGTACAGTAGATACCTGCATGTGTACATCAGATACCTGAATGTGTACAGTAGATACCTGAATTTGTTCAGGAGATAAGTGTATGTGTTTAGTAGATACCTGAATGTGTACAGTAGATACCTGCATGTGTTCAGTAGATACCTCAATGTGTACAGTAGATACCTGAATGTGTACAGTAGATACCTGCATGTGTTCAGTAGATACCTGAATGTGTACAGTAGATACCTGCATGTGTACAGTAGATACCTGAATGTGTACAGTAGATACCTGCATGTGTACAGTAGATACCTGCATGTGTTCAGTAGATACCTGAATGTGTACAGTAGATACCTGCATGTGTACAGGAGATAAGTGTATGTTTGCTGTAGATACCTGAATGTTTTCAGTAGATAAGTGTATGTGTTCAGTAGATACCTGCATGTGTTCATCAGATACCTGCATGTGTTCAGTAGATACCTGAATGTGTACAGTAGATACCTGCATGTGTACAGTAGATACCTGAATGTGTACAGTAGATACCTGAATGTGTACAGTAGATACCTGCATGTGTTCAGTAGATACCTGCATGTGTTCAGTAGATACCTGAATGTGTACAGTAGATACCTGCATGTGTACAGGAGATAAGTGTATGTTTGCTGTAGATACCTGAATGTTTTCAGTAGATAAGTGTATGTGTTCAGTAGATACCTGCATGTGTTCATCAGATACCTGAATGTGTACAGTAGATACCTGAATGTGTTCAGGAGATAAGTGTATGTGTTCAGTAGATACCTGCATGTGTTCATCAGATACCTGAATGTGTACAGTAGATACCTGAATGTGTTCAGGAGATAAGTGTATGTGTTTAGTAGATACCTGCATGTGTACAGTAGATACCTGAATATGTATGATATATACCTGCATGTGTTCAGTAGATACCTGAAAGGGTTAAATAGATACCTGAATGTGTTCAGAAGATACCTGTATCAGAAGCACCTGCATGAATCAAGAAGAAATAGTATTGATCTACCTAAGATCCATGTCATCTTTTTCCTTTCCTTTGAAGTTATATAGCACCACATACACGTCTGTGTCTTTTCTCTTTGATTTCTGCAAGTAAAGTACAGAGGAACAAGAAGATGAATCATACACTTCCATTAAATTTTGATGTCATGACTGGTGTACGGGGTATAGATGTGACATAATTCCTGCAAATCCTTAACCTCTATTACATCATAGCCATAAATCCTATATTTTGGCTGCAGACACACTATTATAAAATATTCAGATTTTCAACAGATGTCCTCTTCACTGTCAACTACACACAACTAGTTGTTCCCCTAATAGCACATGTAGCTCTTCAGCTCTTCTGTGGAAAAAGGCGGAGAAAAAAGTCACTTGTTTCCTGTGTGTGCTAGAGTCAACACGTTTTTTTGTTTTCATTCTAGCACCTGTTATAAGGTTGTCACACTGTTTATTCATTTCTTCAGAAATATTATTACATATAAATAGATATTATTGCAGGTATATCATCTTATGTTTACAATTTTACTTACTTCCTGCTACGTCATCGCACGCGCGTGTCCTCCGAAATTACGTAACCATCTCGTGGTGACGTAATCACTGCTTTTTCATTACGTAACCGTCTCTACTCTTCACTTTCGCACAGCTGTCAATCCGTGGTACATCGCATTGTCGCTCTCCGCTTTCCCCCCGCCCGCCCTGTTTGCCTCCATCTATCTCATTTCCATTGTACATCAATTTTATTGTCTATGACAGGTACCAGGCACAACAAATTGTACATATCTAATTATATATCTCTCTAATATTGTACATATCTTGACAATGTGAATAAAACAAGTCGTGGAGTGGCGTGGTTCTTCTGGGCTACCTCCTATATCATCATAATTTATATTGATATATATACTAATTAGGGTTTCCGGTTACCTGCTTTCCAGCAGGAACCCAGACTGGGTTACCTTCTTACCAGTTGGAACCCAGTCTTTCCCGGGTTTTCACTCGGGAATCTAGTAACAATTATATTTGGCAATGCAAGTTGCCACATAGCTGGGCCTGGCGGCGTTCGCTCCCATTTAGACCCGCAGCGTTGGTCGGGTTGCGTCGTTTCCGTCATTTGGGCTGTAGCATTAAGTATATATTAACAATTAAATTTGGCCTGGCGGCGTTCGCTCCCATTTAGACCCGCAGCTGTGGTCGGGTTTGCGCCGTTTCCGTCATTTGGGCCGTAGCATTAAGTATATATTAACAATTAAATTTGGCCTGGCGGCGTTCGCTCCCATTTAGACCCGCAGCTGTGGTCGGGTTGTGACATTTCCGCCATTTGGGTCTTACCATTAATTATATATTAACAAATATGTTTGGCGACTCAAGTCGCCACATAAATACTATTTATTCCATTTCTAAATTGGGGTAGCCCTTTAGAACCTCCACACCCTCGGCCATTAAATCCACTGTTGCGTCTTTGTCATTCTTTCAACATAGCCCACCTTCCTCAGGGAGGTGGGCCATCGCTGTAATATCCTGCAATAATTACATTTAGTACTAGCGACTAAATGTTTTTATTATGCCAGAAGTGTGGCCAGTTCATGCTGACTGGAGATCCACATAACTTCTGCTGGAAGTGTAGCGAGGCTTCATGTACGGTAGAGTTGAGATGTGACATGTGTTCTCTCCTATCCAAGTCCTTCTTCATGAAGTTAGATGCCTCCATACTCAAGGTGAAGCACAAGAAGCTAGGCCGTGAAGAGGAAAGTCAACTCTATCTTATCGGCCCCTAAGGAGACAATCTCCACGCCTTTGATCCCTTTGACTCCCCAATCAGTTCCAGCCTTTGGATTGGAGATCAGCGCTTTGGAGAGACTTTTCGCCCACCAACAAGCCTCCATCGAAGAGATGATTAACACCCGTCTGGCGCCCATCACTTCAGAAGTAGATCAACTAAAGAAGTTTCAGGCTCAGAAGTGTTCCTCGGCCAAGAGGCCCGACGTGGTTAAGCAGTTAATTGTCATCAAGCCTAAGTCATCAACGAAGTCCAGCACGCCCAGATCACGACTTCCTGACGATCACCAGGGTAGTGGCAAGCACGCCTTATCTCCGCAGAGCTGACCAGCCGAGCTGCCGAAGATACCGTACAGTTCCCGCAGTGTATGGGCAGTGGATGGGCAGATCCGAAAAGTCTGCTACCATTACCAGAGCAAGCTGGTCACCACATGACTCCGCATGGGCTCCCCGGGAGTCGCTAGACAAGCCACGAACACATGAGGAGAGAGCTCAGGCCCCACGTCACCAGGGCAGCCGTCCGGATCCCGTTACACCAGACCCTCAGCCAGCGTGGCGGCAGATTATACCAGAGCCATGGACCCCATCAAACGAGGATGATCTTGGATATGAGCCCATGGAACCATCGGCACCGGAGTCACACGATGGAGAGGCCCCCGATCAACCGGCCACATCACCTCCGCGGGAGTATGGACCAGCGTTGTCCTTTATGGATATGATAGATGTTATATATCACGACATGCCGACCACACAGCCACGAAATGAACAGTTGCCTCCTCCAGAAATGCCTGAGTACACTGGAAGCAATGTTCCGTCTTCGTCATCATGAAACATCTAATCCACACACAAAAATCATTTTGTTACATGAATAACATTTGCATAGCCATAACCATGGAACACGATATGGAGTCTGTACAGGGAAATGTATACAAGTTCTTTAGAGGGAATTTAAACCATTTATTAATTTAGATAGGGTGAATAACTGAACTGCCCAAGCTATGGGTTTTTTAATTCATACCATCAAGTCTACAGTGTGATAAGAAAACAATACAGGTATAGGGGTGGTCTCAAAAACAAAACTGTGAAGTAAAAGGATATTAGACAGCTTTGATACAGGGTGATTAGGCGTATAGTGTACAAGCTTTATGAGCAGAAGGTAACCCTGACTTGTGGTAGATTTTGGGAGGAATTAAAGATAAAATTGTTTCCCAGACTGCACTAACTATTGCTCTCCAAGAGATGGGATTTCGGTACACTGCGCGTGGCAATGACCGAGCACGTTTCAGGGGAAAATATTCCATCCTGTCTATGAGGTCACATTATCTCTGAACCATTCATAATTATCAGTCAGGGGTCCAGATAATTTACCTTGATGAATCATTCCACTGACTACATGTGGCTATCGACAGATGGACAAAAATCAGCCATTGTACCATCAGGTAAAGGTAATCGTGTCATTGTTTTGCACGCTACATCCCATGATATGGGGCTTATTGATAGATGTGTGCCAGTTTTCAAGGCAAAAAAGAAAACTGGTGATTTTCATAAGGAAATTATGGGAGGTGATGTGTTCATAGACTGGTTGGAACTTCAGCTATTGCACATTTTAAACAATGCCAGTGTTATTGTCATGGATAACGCCAGTTAATATAACCTCCGGGAATCAGATACTGTCGCCTAAACCATTAGTCTGAAGGCGACCCTACAGGAATATATGACATTGTCGACTTCAGACAATATGAAACGAAAGTTCAACTCATGGAGAAAATTTGGCTGAATAAGAAACCAGTAAAGTACAGGACATATGTGCTTGCGGCACAACACAGTTACGTTGTCTCACGTATATCAGTCAGACATTGTGAGCTCAACCCTGTTGAACGGGTTCGTAGCAAGACATAACACAACATTCTAAAGTACAGATTCACATATGTCATCAGCGGAGATATATGCTACCTCAAGAAAACATCTGTAGAACAACAAATACTTCTGGATTCCAAAACCGCAACCTTCCAATACTCATCCCTCTAAACTAGTCAATCATGTTTCCAAGCAAATATAATGCAGTACATATCCTAAATTGCTACTCCATCAATGCATGTCAATTAAGTACAATAACAGCAATATTTTGAGACCACCCCCAACTCGGTGACATTTGACCCTGGGAGAATGCACAGGATGGTGTGAGGTCATCACCTCGGGACAGGTGTCAGGTAATTACCTCAGGTTATAGGCCATTTCATACATGCATGACAACACACGAATATTTTCTAAGTTTATCATCATTTTACCTGTAAAAGTACATTTTAAGGGTAATAACAATGTCAGTTAGGACAGTCTAGATTAGGTCAATTCGCGTTATTTTGATATATGCTCTTTTTATAGTCCTATGACTCGTATTTGTTACATGATGCCAGAAAATCCGTTTTCTAGCATTTCTGACAGTACTTTTCGACGAAGTCAGACAGTACACGACAGAGATTTCAAGTGTCTACGATCAACCTGGCAGTCAAGGCACATGGATCCCAGTATTCCCCTAAACGAGCACGAGAACCGGCCAGCTATTCCTCTTTCCACAAACTACCGTGAAAGACGTATATCCCATCAGTAAAAGAATCCTACCAAGCATCCAGGCATTACGACAAGCCATCGTCAGACTCCTTTCAGAACTCAGACTCCAAATGCCGCGGATGTGGATGTAGAGGTTTCAAGCCTATAGGTCGTGGGGATAGAAGATGACACGTTTCTCCCCCCCCTCCAAGTGTTGCAGATCCTATCGAACTGTTTTTGTCTACAGATTACGATACACGACTTCCGCCATTCAACATAACGCAGTCTCAGGTTCCAGTGGGAGGGCGTCTTTTGTCATATGCCAAAAATTTGACGCCATCAAGACCCTTCTCACCAAATGGGCCATTTGGAGATTGCGGGATACAAACAAAACTTGGGGTTTCTACTTCCTGGTGTTTTTAGTACCAAAAAAGAACTCCGTAGAGATGAGAATGATCATAGACCTCAAAACACTCAACAAGAAGTACTTGGTCCCGCCTCCAAGATTTCACATGGAATCAGTCAGGAAACTATGTTCATCACTTAGAACAGGAGATTGGGTCATCAGCCTCGACCTTCAGGGTGCATATCTCCATGTGCCCATCCACCGCATGTCCTGGAGGGGGAGGATTGCACCCACGGAGTGGACTCTTTACCAAGACATTTTCACCTGGATAACCTCCGTTTGGGACACCCAGCATCAGGACCTCTTTGTAACCTGTCTCAACAATCAACTTCCGGTTTACGTCAGCCCAGTCCCAGATCCGAAAGATCTCCAGATGGATGCACTATTCATGGATTGGACAGGTCTTTTCACCTACGCTACCCTCCATGGTCTCTCCTAGACAAGGTCATGCAGAAGTTGGAAGTGACAAATTGCACAGTCATCCTCATCGCTCCAACTTGGCCAAGCCGGACATGGTATCCATGACAACTATCGCTCCTGATGGATGAGCCACTCCCTCTTCCACTTCGCAAAGATCTCCTGTGTCAGCCCAGGTCGAGCCTATTTTACTCCAATCTTCCAGGCCTCCATCTCACCACCTGGAAAGTATCTCACAGAGAATGCAAGCCTCTGGGTTCTCTCAAGCTGCCTCTACTGCTGTCGCAAGATCATGGTGATCGTCATCCACCCAACTTTATGACAACAGATGGGACAAATTCGTCCAGTGGAGACACAGATGTGGTCTAACCAATGTCACAGTGGTTGCCAATTTCCTTCTACACCTACGACAGGATAACAACTTCCATCATGGAACCATTGAAGGATATAGATGAGCCCTCCATTTTTTTCTCCAGGTCGATGGATTAATGATTAAAACACATCTGGTAGTTGACAGACTCATGTGAGCATTCAGCCTAGAGGATATTCGCATTCCCCGGATCTTCTTATTAGTCGCCCTGTCTGCTTTACTAGCTGCTCCATATGAATCTCTTGGAAATGCTACTCTTCTCCGAAAATTCCGTAAAGCAGCATTTTTACTAGCCATGGCTACCGCATGGCTATCCCTCTGGTATATTCTGGCTATGATGTAATAGAGGTTAAGGATACGCAGAAATTATCAAACAATAGTTATCATTGTTATTAATTCTAAGAATACTACCTCTATCACATCAGGAAATACTCCAACCCACCTCCCCAATTCATCCGCCTCCAGTGTTGAGAGGTTTTGGAAAGAAGTGACGTTTTTCCCACCTTTTTGCACAGAAGAGCTGAAAGCTACATGTGCTATTAGGGGAACAACTAGTTGTGTGTAGTTGACAGTGAAGAGGACTTCTGAAGATTTAGTAAAAGTGTGTCTGCAGCCAAAATACAGGATTTATGGCTATGATGTAATAGAGGTAGTATTCTTAGAATTATTAACAATGATAACTATTGTTTGATAACTGACTCGAGACTAGTTTAGGGACACTCTCATTAAAATCAGATTTTAGTTCTTGCTACCGCTAAACAAAGATCTGAGGACATCCCATTACGGGTCACGTCAGACCGACCTTTCGTGGAATTTGACCGACCAATGTGATGTCTAACAAGAAGTCAAAAATAGCCAATCAGAAGGCAGCTTAATCGAACTTTACGGCACGAGTTTCAAACTGGCGACAATGCTTCGAAACATATTTTGACATATACTCGATTGAAAAATTAAAAACTGAACAAAAGATCATTCTGGAATGGCTAACAGATGGTCTGGATTGTATGAATACAGTCATAAAGTCCATAACTGTCGTTTGGAATTCCCTGTGTTTTTTTTTTCGAGGTTGCACGATCAAAAATCACATTCCAACTGTCACATTCATGATCTGATAAGCGATGCTCTGATTGGTCAGATGAAAGGTTGTTCTGACATTGCCCTGTAATGGTATGTCCTCATAACTTTGTTTAGCAGTAGTGAGAACTAAGATCTCATTTCATTGAGATTGGTTTAGGGAGTAAACATGTGACACAGATGTACAGACTGTAACTGACTAGACACAGGTGTAGGGGGGATAGATGTGACACACATGTACAGACTGTAACTGACTAGACACAGGTGTAGGGGGGATAGATGTGACAAACATGTACAGACTGTAACTAACCGGAGACTGGTGTAGGGGGTATAGATGTGACAAAACTGATCGGAGACAGGTGTAGGGGTTTAGATGTGACACACATGTACAGACTGTAACTGACTTGAGACTGGTGTATGGGGTATAGATGTGACACACATGTACAGACTGTAACTGACTGGAGACTGGTGTAGGAGGTATAGATGTGACACACATGTATAGACTGGAACTGACAGGAGACTGGTGTAGGAGGTATGGATGTGACACACATGTATAGACTGGAACTGACAGGAGACTGGTGTAGGGGGTATAGATGTGACACACATGTTTAGACTGTAACTAACTGGAGACTGGTGTAGGGGGTATAGATGTGACACACATGTATAGACTGGAACTGACCGGAGACAGGTGTAGGGGGTATAGATGTGACAAAACTGACAGGAGACTGGTGTAGGGGGTATAGATGTGACACACATGTACAGACTGTAACTAACTGGAGACTGGTGTAGGAGGTATAGATGTGACACACATGTATAGACTGGAACTGACCGGAGACAGGTGTAGGGGGTATAGATGTGACAAAACTGACCGGAGACTAGTGTAGGGGGTATAGATGTGACACACATGTACAGACTGTAACTAACTGGAGACTGGAGTAGGGGGTATAGATGTGACATAACTGACTGGAGACAGGTGTAGGGGTTTAGATGTGACAAAACATGTATAGACTGTAACTAACCGGAGACTGGTGTAGGGGGTATAGATGTGACAAAACTGATCGGAGACAGGTGTAGGGGTTTAGATGTGACAGACATGTACAGACTGTAACTGACTTGAGACTGGTGTATGGGGTATAGATGTGACACACATGTTCAGACTGTAACTGACCAGAGACTGGTGTAGGGGGTATAGATGTGACATAACTGACCGGAGACAGGTGTAGGTTGTATAGATGTGAACACAACTGACCGGAGACTGGAGTGGGGAAGGAGTATGACTTCGATGTTTTCGTTCCTCAATCTCCAGAGAGCTGGAGCGATGACTGAACCCAAGCTTCTTTCTGTATGAGGCGCTTGTCATTGTGTCAACTGGACTGTTGGGAGCTGTTTTGACAAAACAAATGTATTGCAATATATGTGGGTATCTGTTTTGCAATAAATATGGACCTACAGCGTGTTGACAGTGATTGACACTGACTGTACATTCAGATCCTATTCTCTACATACTGAAGTAAATATTACTCAGCATGGTCAGTCGCCAACATTTTGTAGTTATGGATACAGAGGAGATAACAACATGAGAGAAAAATCACTTCCACATTTCTGATGTTTTGTCAATCAATTTCTAAGGGAAACATCATTTGTGAATAAATTTTTGTGTAGAGTTTAGGTTTAACTATACAAATGGTAACAAAACTTATTACATTATTTTCATCCAAAATGCTGGAACACAGAAAAAATATTACAATTTGTTTCGTCTGAAAAGCGTACCGGTATTTATGTGTTTAAATGATCTCTGTATCTTACGTATAGACATCGATATTGAAGCACAGATTTTACATGTTAGAATTTTATTTTCAAATCACGCATGAACTGACTCTATAACAACACCTCATTCCTGCCCAGTTGGTTTGTGCAGGTAGCATTTTCAATGTTATTTTCCTTTTCTACTTAAACTCAGTTTTCACATTCTCTTGGTTTTAATTTGACTTTGGTACATAGAGATCTTAGAGAGATCATGTATACTTAGTTTCATCAAGTTCCATTAAAAGATATTCATAGTTTCCTTGATGTCCATTGTCATCCCCAGGGAAATGTAGGAAGTACATCTCGTACAGAAACTCCAACATCTGCAAGTTTTGAGAAATCCATTTGCAGAGCTCAAATTTGAGCAAACACATTAAGCTAAATTATTTGACCTCCCAAACCAGTTACATTGACTTTAGCACCTGCCACACCAAGTGTTAGTTCTGTTACTGATGTACCTAAAACAAAAAGTTAGTTACATGTGACTGTTGTACCTCCAAAACAAGTGTTAGTAAAGGAACTGCTCTTCTTCTTTGTCGTCTCATCTATGCCCAGTAACTGTTTTGGTGGGTCTGGCGTGTCGAGTGAAAAACTCTTCATCCGAGCATTCAGTTTCTTCCTTCTTGTTTTGGGACTGTGACTAGCTGTAACATTTTAACAAACATTGACATGTAGAACATTTACTTTACATCTGAATGAAGTATATATATGTCATAATCAAGCATCAGAAAAAAACAGCCCTACCTAATTTTACACAAACCATATTGGACTCATATATCAATTAGAGAAGTTGGACAGCTCATTCATTGTCATAAAACCATCTGAAATTTATGTGAATGGGTCAAGTAGTTTCATGCAAGCATTTGAAGACAATTGGTATGAACCTTCTGTAAATTATAGGAATGATAGGCATGTATTGGATATTCTTGAATAAATAAACTCAACTAGTTTAGAAAGAAATCCTTTGATAAGGCACATTCAACAAACATAATGGTTGAGCACTTCCAAATCGCCATGTGAATCTATCGTAGAATATCCATTGGGTGAGCGCAATCACCATCGCCATGTAAATCTATCTCAGAACATCTATTTGGTGAGCGCACTCGACATCGCCATGTGAATCAATCATAGAATATCCATTGGGTGAGCACACTCGACATCGGCATGTGAATCTATCGTAGAATATCCATAGGGTGAGCGCACTCAACATCGCCATGTGAATCTATCGTAGAATATCCATTGGGTGAGCGCACTCCACATAGCCATGTGAATCTATCGTAGAATATCCATTGGGTGAGCACACTCGACATCGCCATGTGAATCTATCGTAGAATATCCACTGGGTGGGCACACTCAATATCGCCATATAATTAAATTTTCGTTGTGTTCATTGAAATTCCTGTATTCTGATTAACTGAATTGGTGACATGTTATTGCATTCACTTCCCAATGAATGTAAAAAATTAAGCCACGCCCACCGAGGCGCACTACTTTTATTACTTCGGAATGTCGGGGAATCCAAATATTACAGTCGAGGGAAGTCCCTTTCTGCTCACGTGTATTGTCATGCACAGGACATTAAGCGACTTTCATGCATATCCATTGTTCAAACTACCCCTTGAAACCAAAGGCCGAGAATTAATGAAACAGCAAACGTGCAGGCTCGCTCGCCTGTTTTTGTCCTGCTAGCCTCGGTTCAACTTTCATGTCTTCGGGTTTCATTTCTAACTAGCATTTTTCCAACTGTGTTTTACCGTAATCAGGGAAGTAATGTTTGAATCTGGCGGTAACTGACCATGTAATTTGAAACAGCCGCCTTCTACCAGACATATTTCTTCCGGTGCGTTACCCGTCTGACTGTTGCAGTTCTTTTCGCCTCTTGCCTTAATTGACAGGTTCAATGAACATTGTTTTGATCCTGCTCTCTGTAGAGAGGCTACTGACAGTGTAGGCGTGTCAAGTTATGTGCATAAATTAAACGATCACCTGACTCATGTCACGTCACAGTATGTATTCCTACACCTGGAATGTTTATCAATCTCATCATTTTTGTCTGTTTTGATATATACAACTGTTTTTGGTTAAACTATTGTAGATAAAACATGTTTTTCGTTGTCAAATTTAATTATAAACATTAACTGTGTAATTTTTTCAGTTCATTGAGGTATGAATCGAAAAACTGATGTGCAAACATTTGTAAGAATCCGCTATGCGGGTTCATACAGTTTGCACATCGGTTTTTCGATTCATACCTCAATGAACCGAAAAAAACCACACCGTCAATCCTTAAGTGAATTTATCGTAGAATATCCACTGGGTGAGCACACACAACACACAATGTGGACGCAAGTGGTCCTGTGCACAGCTCAATGGTCAAAAATCAGTAGAAACTAAGAAACGTTGGTCGCAGAGAGTCCATGGATGGGTGTGTTTGGCAGCTTGGCTCCTGAGAGTTTCTAGGGCTTTGGTCCTGCCCCACACTGAAGCACTTGCAACACATGTGGTGTCTCCTTGGGAAAGTGACTTTGTTCGAAATATGCCTCTGTTCACCAAGCAGTGAATAGGTACCCGGTAAGATGAGATGAGATTGCTTAACAATCTCGCACCTCATAGGAAGCTTGGGTTATATACTCCCTAGATGATGATCAAGTGCACACTGATTCATTGATCGATGTAATAATAGTATAGAGCTTTGAGCATGCCCTGTGGTATGTACATGGCACAATATAAATAGGCCCATTCTTCTTCTTCTTATTATTATTATTAACATGGGAATCTATTGTAGGACATCTATTGAGTGAGCACACTCAACGTACATCATGGGAATCTATTGTAGGACATCCATTTACTGAGCACACTCAACATACAACATGGGAATGTATTGTAGGACATCCATTAGGTGAGCACACTAAACATCATCATAGGCATCTATTGTAGGACATCCCTTTGGTGAAGACATTCAACATACAACATGGGAATCTATTGTAGGACATCCACTGGGTGACTGCACACAACATCACCATAGGAATCTATTGTAGAACATCCATTAGGTGAGCAAACACAACATCATCATATGAATCTATTGTAGGACATCCATTGGGTGAGCACACATAACATACAGCATAGGAATATATTGTAGGACATCCATTGAGTGAGCACACTCAACATACAGCATGGGAATATATTGTAGGACATCCATTGGGTGAGCACACTCAACATACAGCATGGGAATATATTGTAGGACATCCATTGGGTGAGCACACTCAACATACAGCATGGGAATATATTGTAGGACATCCATTGGGTGAGCACACTCAACATACAGCATGGGAATATATTGTAGGACATCCATTGGGTGAGCACACATAACATACAGCATAGGAATATATTGTAGGACATCCATTGAGTGAGCACACTCAACATACAACATGGGAATATATTGTAGGACATCCATTGGGTGAGCACACTCAACATACAGCATGGGAATATATTGTAGGACATCCATTGGGTGAGCACACATAACATACAGCATAGGAATATATTGTAGGACATCCATTGAGTGAGCACACTCAACATACAACATGGGAATCTATTGTAGGACATCCATTGGGTGAGCACACATAACATACAGCATAGGAATATATTGTAGGACATCCATTGAGTGAGCACACTCAACATACAACATGGGAATCTATTGTAGGACATCCATTGAGTGAGCACACTCAACATACAGCATGGGAGGCTATTGTAGGACATCCATTGGGTGAGCACACTCAACATACAGCATGGGAATCTATTGTAGGACATCCATTGAGTGAGCACATTCAAGATACAACATGGGAATCTATTGTAGGACATCCATTGGGTGAGCACACTCAACATACAACATGGGAATCTATTGTAGGACATCCATTGAGTGAGCACACTCAACATACAGCATGGGAATATATTGTAAGGACATCCATTGGGTGAGCACACTCAACATACAGCATGGGAATATATTGTAGGACATCAATTGAGTGAGCACACTCAACATACAGCATGGGAATATATTGTAGGACATCCATTGGGTGAGCACACTCAACATACAGCATAGGAATATATTGTAGGACATCCATTGAGTGAGTACAACATGGGAATCTATTGTAGGACATCCATTGGGTGAGCACACTCAACATACAACATAGGAATATATTGTAGGACATCCATTGAGTGAGCACACTCAACATACAACATGGGAATCTATTGTAGGACATCCATTGAGTGAGCACACTCAACATACAACATGGGAATATATTGTAGGACATCAATTGAGTGAGCACACTCAACATACAGCATGGGAGGCTATTGTAGGACATCCATTGGGTGATGACACTCAACATCATCATGTTCATCTATTGTAGGACATGCATTGATCGACCAGACTCAACATAAAACATGGGAATCTATTGTAGGACATCAATTGAGTGAGCACACACAGCATACAACATGGGAATCTATTGTAGGACATCCATTAGGTGAGCACACTCAACATACAGCATGGGAATATATTGTAGGACATCTTTTGAGTGAGGACTCTCAACATCACCATGGAAATCTTTTTTGAGGGATTCGTCGAGGAGTAACTGGTGCTATGATGATCGTTTAATCTGTGTCCTTGATCTTTCAAAGAAATTCCTCTGTCTAGAAGAGACCAAGAGAACCCCATCCAAACCATGGACAGTTTATGCACTTAAAGAACTTTGGGCTCTGGCAGTGGGCTGACATACATTGGTAGCACTGATAAGGTGTGTCTCTCACTGATGCTAGCCATCAAAATACCTCTGGGTGGAGAGACCACTCTGTAGCCACTACCCTCCCACTATCAAGATAAGCTGTCTGGCCCAATGTTGAGTTCCTGGTATGTAGTCTGCCGTCCATCCTGCAGTTGATTGAATCAGCCAATCCACTGATCAAATCAGGAGTGCGTAGTAGATTGTTTGCATCTCGAGACAGTTAATGATCAGATCTCCTTCATAAGGTTGCCACGGTCCTTGTATCCTTCGATTGGCCATATGAGCACCCCAGCCGAGTGGGAAGCCTCTGTAAACAGGTTGTGTTCGAGTGGGAAGCCTCTGTAAACAGGTTGTGTTCGAGTGGGGAGCCTCTGTAAACAGGTTGTTTTCGAGTGGGAAGCCTCTGTAAACAGGTTTTGTTCGAGTGGTAAGCCTCTGTAAACAGGTTGTGTTCGAGTGGGAAGCCTCTGTAAACAGGTTGTTTTTGAGTGGGAAGCCTCTGTAAACAGGTTGTGTTTGAGTGGGAAGCCTCTGTAAACAGGTTGTGTTTGAGTGGGAAGCCTTTGTAAACAGGTTGTGTTCGAGTGCTGGAAATACAAGTGGAATGCCTACCAGGACATTCTCCCAGCATGCCCACTAACTGAGATAATTCAGTAAGGTTGGCCTTCATCAAAGCCAGGTTTGGGGCGAAGGTGAGGTCTCCCCCAGTAAGTCATGTCTTTTAAGGACCTCTCATTTAGTATTGTGGGGTCTCCATTGGCAGCTTGAAACCATTTGTTCAATGGATACTGAATTCCATGAGGCCAGACTTGTTGCTAATGCTTGACTTTCCTGAGCTTTGCAACTTCCCCATTTCGGTGTGGATAGCT